GTCAAAAGACAGTTTTGATCGAAAATTTACCGTATTATTATGAATTTTAGATTAATTTTTGATCCATCGTAACAGAATTCTAGGCTAACCTATCTATATTTGTCGCGGAGAACCTAACGGGTTACCGGGGCTCCGGCTCGAAGTGCAGGAGAAGAAACGGGGTGGTTTTTAGTCAGTAAGAGTCTAACACTGCCTCCCGCCTCACCCAGGCAGGAGCAGCCATTCGATGATTTTCCCCCCTTAAAAAAAACCTCGACCGCCAGTTATGTTATAAGTCCCATATAAAAGGAGATGAAAATAAACAATAAATAACCAACAAAATCATATTAACTCGTCGAGTACCGTATTTATAGACACAATTAAAGAACAATAGGTTGCGGTCACCGGTGACCGCTTGGTGTTTGACAGTTTAAATAACATCAAATCACGATACACAGACATCGTGTACATCGTTTTTCTCCATAGAAAGTCGGGTCAGAGCTTAATCACCGTGTATTAACAGTAATCGTGATACTAATGGCGATATAACTATCAATTTGAAGACATTAAATGGTCACGAGTATTATTGCACTTTCTCTTAGTAATTATTATTTAAAATGGTGTTTGATGATACATTTTCCAATTGATTTTCAAATATAAGAAGTAAATATTGGATGTTGTGATCAATTTTGATAATTAATTATTATGTTTTCTTCGGCTTACTCACGTAATTGGTTGAGGAACTCGACTAGTTTCAAGCCATGCTAAAGGCTTATATTCATGAGTAGCATTTCGCTACCCGCGACGCGGCGACTGTCGCGCTGCTTCTTATAATACTCATAAAGAATTAATTTAGTATGTCTCACGAAAGTTTTAATATAAATTTTGTTAATTATAGGATTTTAGCTGTAAGTGTGAGATCTGGTATTCATGTATAAAGATCGGTAATTTTGCTTTTGTATTCTGTAACAACAATGACATAGAAAGATTTTTAAGATGGTGTATGGTATTTGTATGTGCATGGGTCAATTCGGAGATATATGACTGCATTTGATAGGCCTGTATGCGGTATGCAGTTCATATGGTGATTGCTTCAAGATAGTGCTTGTCTTAGGCTTTTAGGTGACACCTAATGAACGTTTTGATTTTACAAATTCCTTTAGTTAGCCCAGAGTTTAGTCTGAGTACTTTAACCTGGAGTTCAGTAGCACTAACATTTTATGTTGTATGTAAGTGAAACCACAACTAGATAAATATAGTTAAATCTGTAATCAGATTATAAAGCATTTTTCCACAATTTCCCAGTCCAAAACCTCTTCTCATTTATTAGGCAGGTTAAACTATTGATTTTTGAACCGCAACCCTATCGCAGTGCCCTCGGTTACTGCGCCCTTGCACTTCGCTAGGGTGTAGCTAAATTATTGTTTAGAGGGGGTGGCCTTTTAAAGCGGGGAAACCCCAGCTATTGTGAACAGCCGATTTCCCGCTATCCGCCATTTTAATGTCCTTCCATAGCACGTTTTCTTTGCATGTGTGTGGGTGGGTATGGTGTAAATTGTAAGAGTCAGCTGGTCAATAGCTCTTCTAATGAAAGCAGATAAAAATATTGACAGATTAAATCTATTTTAGATTAGGTATTAGCAAATCCTGAGTACTTAATGTGAAGACTAGATTTCCTGTTCTGGCATATCATAAGCTGACCTTTTAGACCTTTCAGATGAGGTTGTATTTTTACATGGACAAACTATTGGTGTCTTAGATCAAAGGCGAGATGCTTTAACTCTTTGAGTACCGTCATTAAAGATACAATTAAAGAACAATAGGTTGCGGTCACGGGTGTCCTAGCGGTGTTTGACAGTTTAAGAGAGATATTGTGGAAATAGAAGAATCTGAGTCAAATCTCCATTAATTAGTCGATGTTATAACAGTATTAAAGTAGGTGACTTAAACACCTCGCTACTAGTCTACAATTTGGATCACGCACAATTTTTTCAGTGTGTTTAACATTAAGGTGTGTACAATTGTAGACAGTCGTGTGTGTGATCATTCCATGGGCTTTTATTACTGTTCACTGTATTTTCCTATTGTCCTCTTGTCGGCCTAAAAGGGCGACCAGTGTCATATTTAGAGCACTGCCGCTTTTTTTAGAGTGCCTTTTTGATACTCCATAATGTCTTTGAAAAAGAGGTAATGGCTCGATTTTTTGGCTTTGAAGTTGGAAAGAATTCTTTTATTTGTTGAATGCATTGCATAAGACTAAAGGTACTGTTACAAATGTTAATTTTAATCACGAAAGCATACTTCAATAGGGATGATGACAGGGTATGAAAAACATCATTTCTACGTATAAAATGTACATAGAAGTGACGTCACGCGACATTTCAAATCAACACTTTGATTCACAATTCTAATCTAGATTATATTTAGGTACATATTTGCATAAGAAACAAATAAAACCGCAATTTGAAGGTTGAAACCGCAACTTTATGTGTATGCATAGATATCTCAGTAAGTATCACTTGAAGTATATTAAACTATCAAGGGTCTGTCAGTCCGTCATTTAGCAGTTATTACGAGGGTGAAGCAGTCATTTTCTCCAGAGGAAGTCTGAAATCTTCGGGTCTTGATGTCTTTGTTGGTGTTGTAAATTTTGGATTAGGGAATATAATGTGATGGTTGGTATTTCTCGGAGGGATTTGGTGGGGTGATTTACTATACCTAACTGTTCAAGAGTTTTTTTTTTAATTGTCATATTCTAGTTATTCATTGCAGTGTGGTGGCGAGTTATTGAAGCGTTTAATTACAGTTTCAGTACTATTCATGAATTTTGTTATATTTCTTAAGTTTTGGTAAACCTGATAATAATATAATAAGGTTGTTTTAAAATGTTGTTTCATTGTTAAATCGATGTGCTCCTTGAATATTAGTTCAGTCTCCACAATTATAAGTTCAAGATTAAGACGATAGAGTCTTGCTATTGTGACTTGCTTGAACCAATTAGGTCTACCATTAATATATTTTTCTTTCTCTTAGCATTTTCCTGACAATGTTGGGGTCAACACGAACTCCATCCATAACAAACGGCTCGTTCCAACTAAGGACCGCCATTTAACGACATTAAAGAGCATTTATCGACCAGAGGGGGACACGCGATCATTTTTGGATTATAACCGGTCCAGATAGACGAATTAATTAACGACATGACCAAGTTAACAAGAACCCTGTCATTCTAACTGCCGCCTTTAATTTTCATCATTATTCTTTGGTGGTCGCGAGAAGAGGCGGCTCAAACTGGTTACGCCCGGTTTGCGTCGGTCATAACTGGACGTTCTTTGAGGGATTATGGACGAAACGTGTTTGCGAGGGGGGATGAGACGTTTTTACGTAATTAGTGGTGCAAGTGGGTTCTGATAAGTGCTACTACAGTGCAGTGGTGGTCGGTAAGGGATATTGTAAGAGGATTACGTTCGGAGCTTTAGGGAGGACAAAATAAGCTGTTGAAATCGGTTCACTGCGCAAAGAATCGGTATAAGCTGTACAAAAACTCATTCACGAACGATACGAAGAACGAACGTACGACGCAAAAATTACCATTCACTTTGTTCATTCAATTGGAGACGTATGTAAATAAAATGAAACGTATTTTCGTTTGGGGAAATGTGGAAAATCTCCATCGGTCCTATTCTGACCGTACATAGCAGGAAATGTTAAAAAACGGTATTAAATCGTAGGGGTTGTAACACAATGGGTGTCTGCAGTTACAGGTACGAATATCATTCAAAAAAGTGACGGGAAATGGGAAAATCTAAATTCTCTTGCTTTTCAAAAACAGATAGGTACCTATGATACAGGCGAGGGGGATTTACAATGTCCGACCGTGGAGCGAAAAGGGGCTACACAGGGTGTGCTTTTTATTCTTTTCTATCTTTAAATTAATGAGCAGTTTGAATTGAATTTACAGGTACAATTTTACGAGCTTACATGTTTATTTTGAAACAGCATGTATGTCGAATTGCTCTAAAATTTTAATTAAATGGTATACTGTTTTAGAAGAAGATTTAATTGTAATAAAATTTTGAGAAAGGTGAATTCATTGCTATGATTCTTTGATATTTTAATTTAGTTTTATGTTCACTGAACTTAAAGCCCAATTGTTTTGTATACAGTTTTTACACAAATAAAAAACCATGTTTCCAGTTCAATCAGATCGGAAACAAACACGGTTGGTAGAGTCCATTGTACGTCCATCTTATTCCCTCCCCTAACTTTGAAAAATGGGGAGAATACAAAGCAAGCGTCCATTATGAAATATTTTGAATATTTGTATTTGATTCCTCTTAAAGCAGTCTATATTAGAACAGTCTTGTACAGTCTTGAACAGTATAGAAGTTTAAGGTCTATTTTGCGCTGGTTAGGGGAAGGTCCGAGGGTTTCTCCGTAAATTTTTAATTCCACAGTTTAGAGGATATTTGCTCAGGAATTTGCGCTATGGAGATAGGTTTTTATTCGTATTGGTATCGTATCGCCTCGTGATGGCGTCTCGATAGCGATCGTAAAGTCAGCCGTCTGGTCAGAGGTATGGTCTTATCGATTTAGTCTTAGTATTTGAACCTTTAAGAAAATAATGTCCTAACATTCGACAAGCTTGCAACTTATTGAGCTTAAAATTACTACAGGTAATTCCAATTAATTAACTACGAATATAAGTTCCTTAGAATTTGGATTGTATAGCAATTTGCATCATAAACATTACAGACATTGAACCGCTGTAACAAAGGTACTCAAACGGGATTTCCGTGAAAATGTTAACAATTTAACGATAGCTATATAGTTTTTACTAATTTCCTGCAGTAGTGTTGTGGAGCTGGCCATAGCTAGGTGGAGTGACGACATCCGCAAGGCGGCTGGCAGTGGTTGGATGAGAAGAGCTGAAGACCGAGCTCAGTGGCGTGCCATATGTTCAGCAGTGGACGAACACAGGCCAATGATGACGATGATGATGTGTTGTAAAGTTTCCTTACCTCTAGTGCCGATGATAAAGACGCCTTCTCCTGCTTCAGAGTTTCCACGCGGCTCTTGTATTGCAGCAGCGATCGCACTGTCTCCTCCATCCTGAAACAATTCAGAGAAAAACATTCGTTACAGACTATTTATGTTATCATTGATGGTTAAAAATTTGGACGTGTGTAAACCTTCAAGGTACTAAATTAATTTCGGCTTATTCACGTAACTGTCTGACGAGGGACTCGACTCGTTTCAAGCCACGCTAGGGGCTCATATTGATGAGCAGTATTCCGGGACACACAACGCGGCGATTACTGCGCTGCTACTCAATATGAGCGTCTAGCAGGGCTTGAAACTGGCTGATTTCTTCGTCCAACAGTTACGTGAGTAAGCCGAAAACATAATGATTAATTTAAGGCAGTAATTAAAAGTTAAGGTATTTTTTTTAAGGGGGGAAAATCATCGAATGACTGCCCCCGCCTGGGTGAGGCGGAAGGGAGTGCCAGACTCTTACTGACTGAAAACCGCCCCGTTCCTTCTCCTGCACGTCGATCCGGAGCCCCGGTTACCCGTTAGGTTCTCCGCGACAAAGTTAAGGTATAACGTGCTCGTTTGATTTCTCTTGCATGTTTAAACTGTCAAACACCGCGAGGACACCGGTGACCGCAACCTATTGTTCTTTAATTGTGTCTATAAATACGGTACTCAACGAGTTAAGTGACGTGTAAGGATAATCTAACTTGATAATGAGCGGGAAAAAAACAGTCAAGTATGAATCTGGACTCTGCTAGTCAGTTCTAAGTTTTATACCTCAAATGGCCATCTGGAAGGCTAGTAACATAACATAACCATTATAGCCACACATATAATTAAATCTAACCACCAGACCACCGTCCAAGTTCAAAACGAACAAGTTTGAGATCACGGTCGCATAACACTCCCCGCCGCAGTCGGGTAAGTCTGCCAAGTTGTTACCTCGCACGTGACTTGAACACGAAACTCGGTGTCAGTTTCACTTACAACACTTATTTCCGAAATTATCCGTGTTAAGTGAGCATAGATGGCGCTAAGATCGAGTTTGGGGACGGTTTGTTTGATAGTTCAGAACAGGTGTAACTTTGAGGAGAGTTTGTGAGGAATATTCTCGATTGAATTTCATAGACTACCACGTTGGCCGAGTGATCGCATGTGTTACTGCTGGGCAAGGGGCCTCGGGTTGGATTCCCGGGTCGGACTAAGTCATATTGTTTTTTTTTAATCTCAATAGTAGTACGGAGTCTGAAATTGTGTCCTGTATATGGTAAGGCAATAGGCTCACCCCCTATTACATGGGACTCATAACATAAATAATGAAAAGTTACATTGTACAGTGGTATTAAGTGCTGTAATTTGCACCTCTGCCTACCTCTTCAAGGAGAAAAGGCGTGATGTTATGTATGTTATGAATTTCACAGGTCACTGATAAATAGTTCTGTATAAGAAATAAGACTAAACTTTGTTCGATGATTGGTTATACATTTGTTTAAAAGTTTGTCTTTATATTTAAAGGTCGTCCTTTCCACTAAGCTTCGCTATCATGTTCATTCATTAAAGTTATATATCGCAAGCTTGCATTTAAGCGTATTAAATATAGCAAAGAGCACGTTCATTTAATTTTCCAGACAAAAAATCTATCTAAAACAACAAAAGACAAAGGATCTTACGGGACACTTCATTATGTAGATGGATCAAGCTGGGTATTTGCATATTCTGCGACAGAGCGAGACAAAAAATCCTTTCTTGGGAGCAAGAAGAAGATAGACGAAGTGCACTTGACGCATGTCGACACTTCATTAGCAAGAGACGTCCGTTCGCGAGAGCGCATCAACGTCAAATGACGGTGAACGTGAAGAATGATACTTGTTTCTTTTTTAGTGTTGCTACTTTAAATAATAAATATTTGGTGGATAGATTTTATTTTTAAATTTAAAGTTTATATGTCTATCGTCAAAGAGGTAGGCAAGCAGTATTTCCTACTTTTCCAGTTCACTTTAGTAAAAAAATAAACACCAAGTATTCATCAAACAAAGTAGGCTGTTAACATAGCAGACAAAATTTAATTTGGGATGATTTCCAAATAACATTTTACTAATTACAGTTCAAATATTTGTCCTTGCATAACGCGGTTTCAAAATCCATGAATTTCCAAAATCCCCATTTAACTAAAGGAAGACATCTTGAATTATGAAAATCCACACCAAGGCACAATACCATACAGCCTAATCTCAGAAATTAATCAAAAACGGGTTGCAATTTTAATACTTAATTCAGTGGAGGCTGTATTAAGGCTTTGTATTACAAAAGATACCTTGAGAGCCTTGGAAGATAATTCTTGAAACAAAAACCCTTCAAAATGATTATTCTCCCTGTTTTAATTATTAATACACTGTAGCGGGTTGAGATTAGAGTATTAGGGGACGTTAAGGGTACAACTGAATGTTACGTTTAGTAACTGTAGACAACCGGTCAAATTGCTTAAGAAATTGACCTGAAAATGTTCAGGCGTTTAAGTTAATTATTTTAATTGTTATTGGCATTCTATTTGGATTATGTTACTTGGTGGATTGGTCTTTGAACGATAGGCAAAAAAGTGTTTTTATTAAGATGTCTTGAATTATTTATTTTTATTTATATATAAAATTAATATTTTTTTTAAAGATTTAAGATTAATAAATGCACGGTTGGCGCGGTGGTGTCTCGGATTCGATTCTCACACGGAACAACTCTTTGTGTGATCCACAGTTGTTCTGGGTCTGGGTGTCATGTGTATGTGAACTTGTATGTTTGTAAACGCACCCACGACACAGGAGAAAATCCTAGTGTGGGGCAACGTTTTACAAAAACAGAAATAGAATAGAATAGGACAGAAGATGTTTTTGGTAACGAATTTATTGTAAGTTGTTGTGTGCTATTGTTAAGAATAATAATATCAGAAAAGTTTAGATTATATTCTGTGTTTTAGTTATACCAAAACGAAATATAAATTACGAACAAGCGCAAGTTGAGAAAGATTTTGTGCAATAATGTATTCACTAGTTTAAAATTCTACAAAATAATAAAAACCGCATAAATCTCATCTTTGTTACAATAGAAGAATTGGGACATTCACGTTTGGTTGCCACTTCATTATTAACTCGTTTTGTAACGAATCCTTTTATTATAAAACTGCCAACTCCATTCCACAGATACTGAATAATGGAACTTTTTCAAGACCCTGAATAAAATGAATTCTCTCCACCCACTGTAAGATATTCACTTTTTTCTAACTGGCAACACAGAACTCTTTGATTAGAATCATTTTAAAATTCGAAACGGTTGTGTTCGATTTTTAATATCAGCGATTCGGTTTGATTAAAATGTTGTCGAAGAAGAATTTTTAAGTTGAGTAGAATATATTTTATTGGAAATGAAAAGTATTCTTGATTTTTTTTTTGGAATTAGATAGATTGAAGAAAATTGAAAGGCAAAGTATGTGCAATGTTAGATATAGACTAGCGACCCGCACCGGCGTCGCACGGGCGCAATATGCATGTATTATACATATAAATCTGCCTTAAGAATCACTCTATCTATTAAAAAAACCGCATTCAAATTAGTTGCGTAGTTTTAAAGATCTTAAGCATACATAGGGACAGACAGACGACGGACAGTGACTTTGTTTTATACTATGTAGTGATAATAGATACATCTTAGTTTCTGTTGTATATACATCATATTACTTTTTACTCTCAATAAATTAATGAATCAGGCATAAGCCTGAAATTCTTACTTACAGTTTGTTTGACTTTAGGATAATTGTCACATGGAAGTGGCATGAAAACTCAATGAAACCACTTTACATAATTCACATGAAATACTATAACAATTGATTTGAACTTGATACCATTTTTTAACCGAATCAATGACTAGTCTCTAAATTGTATGTAACCTATTCGGTAATATTCATTTTACAATTAAAAAAATCACAAAACTCAAACGAGAGACTAAGTTAAATACAATTAATCATAGGAAAATTAATTTTTGGGGCAGCAATTGAACCTTTTTCGCGTATTTCCCACGTGGCATATCTAGTTGGTTGGTCCGAGGCTCGATTACCTTACCCAGCCTTATTACACTGTAATTTAATGTTTTTTGTTTTTTTTTCGGCGCTGTTTTTTTACGCTGGCAATGTTTTACTGCGGCCAGTCACGGCAGTATCGACCGGGGTGTGTACCTATTTTTGATTAATTTCCACACGTTTTGCTTGTAAAAAAGGAATTTTGTTTTGGTTTTTTGTCGATGTATTTTCGGTAAATTGGTTTGGGGATGATAGTTTATTAAGAATTCAGTTATTTTGATAGCTGGATAGAATGTATATATAATCTAAAAAAAAGTGTTTGGCAAAATAATAAAAAAGTGTTCGGCTAGACTCGTTTTTATTACAACGGATCTAATAATGTAATTGGTGACAGAGGGTGCATTATAGAGGTAAATACTTACTTACTTCTCCATACAGAGCAACAACATGCAACAGTGTTATCAAAAAGGACTCTGTAAGAAAGCAAATGCAAAAAGGCTAACACATACTTTTTCCCAGACACTCATAAAAAGGCACTCAGACACAATCACAGTTGTCGATCCCTGAATGATCTTTTTATTAAAAAATATAAAAAATGACTGTTTAAACCGAGCTGGGTAAACAATTACCATTTTTTACGAAGCTAGGCAAACATGGCTGCGTCCCCGGGTCCCCCTGTCGCGACAAATTACGTCGCATTCAACCCTTGACCAGATGAGAGCTCGTAAATCTTATCTATTAAAACCTGTGTCCGTACGTTCTGCGGTATGGTGTATGTTAGAGGAATGTGGCTTATTTTATGGTCAAGAAAACTACCAATTTTATCTTTTAGCTTTAGGACTGAGATTAAAACATATTTCGTATTGATATGACGAGCATGCATGAAAATATAGATGACTGTTGATAAAGCGAAAGAGGTATGTAAGAATCGTAGCAATTGGCGTTCCATTGTCTCTGCCTTCCTCCATGGGAGTCAGGCGTGAAGTTATGTATGTATGTAAAATTTTACACAGTTATATTTTTAA